ATAATTGAGAACTCAAGGGTACCCCTTTAGTATAGGACTTCAGAACTACGGGTACTCCCTTAGTATAAGGCTTGAGGACCTAAATGTACCCCTCTATAATAGAAGATGAGGACTCGAAGGTACCCCGTTTGATATGACTTGTGGCCTCCAGGGTACCCTCTATATTAGTACATGAGGACCAAAGCGTAGCCTCTAGTATAGAACTGGAGGATCCAAAGTTATAAACTTAGTATACGATGTGAGAACGCAAGGGTATCCTCTATAGTAGAACTTGTGGCCTCAAGGATACCATTACCACCTACCGATAATGGTAACTTCCTACACCTACTCACCTCTAATATAACGATTTTAAAAAAATTTGAGAGATTTCTAAAGATTTTGAGAGATTTTTAAAGATTTTTAAAGGTTTTTAGAGATTTCAAAAGATTTTGAGAGATTTCTAAAGATTTTGAGAGATTTTAAAAGATTTCAACAGATTTCAACAGATTTTAGAGATTTTAAATGCTAAAATCTGCTTTTTCTCCCCTGCATACCCCGCCTCCCCTTTCCCATAACGGACATAGCGCCCATTAAAGATGGGCCACCATTACAGACCTTAGCAACGGCGCACAAAAGGCCTCAGATTTATTTAACAATTAAAAAAACTACTTGAATAGTATGAAGAATATGAGTTCGACTGCTATACAATTTTTCAATGCTTTCATAATCATTTGAAGAAAAACATTTTTCAGTTTACAAATGATACATTAGGATAACAAGTTTGAAGGACATATGTGAGTTCCATATTTCAACTCCAAAGGAGCTGTGCTAAGAGGTTTTTTCAGCTAGCAAAACGAAATTTAAAATATGGAAAATAATAACATACATCAGTGGAAAATTATGGCTACAGCACATGTTGACAATAGTGCTGTATTTATATTTCATCTCCATCAGAAGATGATCTTCATCTAAAAGACACTATACTTTTCCTTGATTATCCGATGACTTTTACACTTGTTTTCAACCACTTGAGTTTATTTTTGAGAAAAAGAATATTCGGATATACGTAAAAATACATCCCTCAATTGAGAATGCAATCTATCCTTTTATTCTTTTCCGAACCAGGGTTTTTTAGAACAAGAAGCCCAGAATCATTTAAGATTGTCTCGACTGGCTGGAACAAAGTTCTTCTTTTCTCTGCATACCATAAATGGAGAGTATCAGACTCTTTCCCAGAAAGATGAACAACTTTTTACACTTGTCGATTTGTATGAGAAAATTCATTAGCGATATCTTCTACAGACTCAAGCCATTTGCCTAGAGCTGTCAGAGTGAAGAATGCGACTGAAACTTTTTTCTTGATAATTTATTCGAAAGCAAAATATTTTATTAAAACTTGCACTAACAAGAGGTGTATTTTCACAGAAATACAGATAGTAGAAGAATTAGTATGGTCGTTCAAGTCAAATAATATGATTTGCGAAGAGAATGAAAAGTATATTCCAGTGTGCTTCGATTGATGGCAAATGATTTCGTAGAGAAAGATTCTGTATCTCTGAGTTTCATCTGATTGAAATAGATGAGTACATAGAAATTACCGACGCTTATAATTTCATGTTTTTCATTTAGTACAGAATAATCCTATCAGAAGAATGGACGACAAAAGTACTCCAGTAAGTCGGGTTTCATCAGTTGTCTCACTCGACTCTGAACCAATACATCCAACAAATCAACATGATATGGCCATTCACCCATCACAAAGTGAGTGGGAAAATAAGTATATTACTCAAATTTGCGAAGCACTCGCACTTGACGAAACGGACAACGAAGCACGCATGATTGTCAAACACCTTCTTATCGATGGGCGACAAGCTTTGGTACGCTTCCGTGATCATATTATACCCGTGGATTTCGACACTCAAATGAAAGATGATGATAGTTCAGTATTACTTCAAATTCTGAAGTCCTATTTTCAAGATATATGGCAGCAAATTTCATTTGATTGGTTTGACGCATTCATGAGTGCACAACAATCTGATGAGAATGATTATCAATATCAATGTGTCTTGAAACGTGTAGCCGAGCATGGATCAAAATTTATCAAGAATTGTCCGATCTTTTCAGCTGTTCTTCAACTGGTTTTCGAATTTGATGATGACACTATCGCTGATGGCAAAGTGTTTAATCAAGTATGGAATTCGTTTGCTATGTATGGCTGTGATACTGCTTTGAAAGAGTCAGCTCAATACATTGTACCTACGATCATGGAGAAATATATCAACGCCCCAAATAGTTCATTATTTCTTGCTCTACGCGAATATTTTCGTGAACCCTTGGTCTCGTTGTTTAGCAAAAGTAAAATTCTCAATAAGCGAAATCTTCTTGAGATTGCACTTGATGGTCTGGCCAAGTCTGGTTGGACGGCAGGTCTAGAAGACCCTACGATTAAAGTGCTTATTGCACCGATACACTATAAAATTTTGATTACAAATCTGAAAGAATATCTCGATCAACAAGGACTCTCTCAGTCAGTGATCAGTACTCCAGATGCTTGCTCAGCAATCTCACAAGAACCAACTATTTCTACCACCAGCTCTCAAAATGTAAGCCATGTCAATCTAGATAGCACGGTAGCGAATAGCAAATCATCAGTTTCCGAAGCAGATACACTTTTCTATGTACCGTCACAAACTGCATCTACTGCACAACCACCGCTGACATCAGGATACGTAATTAATACTGATCCATCTAGCCCCTTTCGGTTTCCTATGCCTGATCCTGATCGCCCCTTTTCAACGAATCTACTGTCAACACACGCATCTAATCCATCGATCAGTCCTTCAACAGAGAATAACCCAGAATATCGCTGGGTTCAACAATGTGTTGAACCCAATAAAAAGATTGATTTGTCAACTTTAGTACAAGCTGGAGAACTTCTTTACATTCAACAACGTTTGAACGAAATTGTCTCTCATATTGTAAACGATTATCAACGTTTTAAGAATTTTTCCAAATTCATCCAAGATTGTCTTATACCGATCATTTACCTCCTCAAACGTCATCAGAATTTGACTGACTTCTTTGAATATCTTTCGTACAACTATTCACAAGCAATGCTTTCTCCCCCTCCCGCTGTTCCTCATGTGAACATGCGTCTCATTATTCATATCCTGTTGATGAGCTCTGATTTATCGGTATCGCGTATGATCATGAATCTTCTATCCAAACGAAATCCAGTACCATTTATCGAACCTAGTCTTAATGAACGATCTTCGTCACCATCTTTCGTACTAGACATTGTGCATGTTTGGGATTACTCTCTTCCAACCCTTTTGTCATTTGGTGTTGGTCCATGCAAAGGAAAATCATCGTTGCTGAATACCTTATTCATGTCCTCATTCGAGCATACAACGAGCAGTATCTTCTTTCAACAGACAATCGATATTGATTTTGGTTACAATTTTCTACCACGTCGTACAGCAAATATTGCTGACACTCATGGTGAAATGACAAAACCACTATTGTCGAAAATTCACAATTTATTTGAGGGTTTTATCATTCAAATTGAAGGTATCTTTCTTAATGCGAATGTTGGTCTCCTCTTTGAACTGTTGAATTTATTGCCGAATCACAAATTTCGTGCGATAATCGTACGTGATGTTGATAACCAACTACATGGGCAATGTCGAGAGTTTCTTTATGCTAAAGGATCCTATCATTTGAATGGTGTTGATATTATTATTCTGCCAAATATTTGCGATCGAGATAATAATCAAAATAAATTTCATATTCGATCACTTCGAGACATTCTCATCGATCGAACGCCGAAGCGTCCTACCTACGAACCGGATTATCTTCGTAGTGAAATTCTACGGTTGCTCGAACCAGATATCAAACATCATCTGATTAACATGACAAAAATGATTACACCGCTGAAAGACCAACTTCTTCATGCGAGTGAAGGTAGTGGAAATATCTCAAAATACTTTCCCGTCTATGACAAATTTGTTCAACTGTCTACTCTCCGACAGCAACTAGCTCGTGTCAGCTTCTATGAAGCAACTAATAACGAACAGATATACAGTATAAGACAAGCGACCTTTATGCTTGAAAAAGAACTTCAAAGTACAGGAAAATCACGTAGCGGTCCAATCTTTGATCTTTTTGTTAAATTGCTCCAATCGCCCGAAACTATGATGACACTCGATCTTCTAGCGAGTGAACTTCGTCAAGAACGAAATCGTATTGTACCCACAGGTCAGATGGCCGACCAGATGTCAATTGAAAAGAACCTTTCCCTTGAAGTTCTCTGGCGAAATGCTATCGTTTGCTATCCGTATCAACCAAATGAAACTCAAGAATTGATTTTTACCAAGTACTCAGAATACATGACCGCTGGTTATACATTCGAAATAATTGATGGTGATAATTTTCACTTGCCATCAACTTTTCTTACTGAAACATTGTCGGTATTTCAAAACAAGAAAATTCTTGTTATTAGTATCATTGGTCCTCAAAATAGTGGCAAGAGTACCTTGCTGAATTATATGTTTGGTACCTTGTTCGACGTTCGTGATGGTCGTTGTACACGCGGAATCTATGGATCATTTGTTAAATCGAATTCCAACGATTTTGATTACATTATGCTGATCGATACAGAAGGATTATTGGGTGCCGAGAGAGGAGACAAAGAATTTGATCGGCGGTTGGTACTTTTCTGTTTAGCTGTGTCCCATTTAGTTATTGTCAACATGATTGGAGAAATCAATGATACTCTGAAAGATATGCTTACTCTTTGTGCTGACACTCTTAAATTGATTGGCGTTAGCCGAGTATCGAAACCCAAAGTGCATTTTGTACTTAATCAGAAAGCTGATCTGAACATTGAAAATAATCGAGTAGCCATCGAAAAGATCATGTCTGATCTAGCCAAATTAGATCTTAGTGATATGATGGATGTACGGCCAGAAACATTTCATACATTACCATCTGCATTCAAGAAAGATCGAGCTGTCAACGATACACGACTTCCCAGTGTCATTCGAACTGAACCCGATTTCATCGAACGTGTTCAGAGTCTTTGTGGTATTATTATCGAATCAGGCGTTCAATCGATGTCGAGTAGTCAAGAACAATTTGTCGATCCAGGACAATGGCTTCGATTTTCAGTAGCCATATTTGATACGCTGCAAAAATTCTCCGATTTAACTTATTTTCGAGATATCAATGAACGTCGGCAGGATGATGAAGTTCGAGAACATATTCGGACAAGTTTAGCTCGATTTTTTTCTGCTGAAAACAAAGAACGAATGACTGAAGAAGCAACAAATCATACCGAACAGGAAATCTCCGATATGTTACATGCCAAAGAGGTAAAAATACATGATGACTTTTTACAAGAGCTAGATAACGTACTCAAATTATTAAAAACAAGTGACACAATTCGACAGCGTAGTCGACAATTTCTCAAGGCACAAATTACTGAAATGTTCATTGCTGTCCGTACATCAGCTGTAATGGTTACCGAACGTACAAAAATGAAGCTTTTGGTACGCGATGGTGAAGGGGATTTGAAATGTTTGATCGAAGATACAATCAGAACTGGTGCGACCATGCATGAGACAACGGCTCGCCAAAAGTTTGAGTCGATGTTTAATGATATTGTTATGCGTATCAAACAAAAATTTGAACCCTTTGAGCGTCTTCGACAGGCGATCAATTTCATCTACACGAATTACAATATTTATGAGCATGGTTGCTTATCAGATTATCAGCATCTCCTTAATGAAGGACATGTTGATTGGCTAAAGACCTTGAATGAAAGCCAAATGAATATCGACGATGCAAAAGAATGTATGGAAAATCGATTTGCATGCGCCGCCTATCAACATAGCTGCGTTGAAGAGCAGCCGTTCAATCCGGACACATCAAATCCTTATTCATCGAAAATCATCGACAATCTTGTCTATTTGAATAAAGATGTCCTTCGACCAATGTTTACAGATTATTGTACACGACAGTCATATCAACAATCATCATCATCGAACAGGGAAACGAATAGTCATTCAAAAGGGCTAATTCGTCGAGGTGTGAACGCAGTGGTGAACGTATTATCGGGACATGGTCATGCTGACACCAGTATTCCAACTGAAGGTTTTCAACAGGCAACACGACGTACAATTATCCGTGAGAAACCGGCTTACGCCACAGCAGATTTAATCTCTGATAATATGACATTGTTGCAAGTATCGAATTATTTTAATTGTCTCACAAAGCGAATTATGAAGATTATTCATCAGAGACAAATTGATACAAACTTGATTCAACGGGTTGTTGGTTCGCTTCATACACTTATTAAAGATATTAATCTGGAATTAAGCCCATTCAATTTGGCTTTATCTCGACATCTGAAATCAGCTCTACATTCCTGTGCTGTTTGCCTCCTTACTAAAGCGTATTACAATGAACAAGAGGCTCATTTTCATCAAACTGTAGAAACACTTCATACTCGTAAGAAAGACTTGTGTGATTATTTTATCTCCATGGTTGTTCCAAATGTCTCATACGATGCCAATTGTGCAGTCAATCTTGCTAATCAATTAAAAGAGTATATTGTGAAAGAGCTTGCGCTTGAAGGACAACGCATGATAAATATCGAAGTACGCAAGCACGAACATGTCAATCGACGTTGGGTACAACAACGATGCGACGGAAAGTTGTTTGCTGAAGATACTTCCTGGCATCTAGATTATATTGAAAACCCTGATAAGATAATTCGACAATTTTTTGATTCGATGTGGCAGGATATCCTTCGAGATATTAATCAAACATTGGCAGAACAAAAAATGCGCTATGCTCGAACATTAATCGACTTTTTTCAACGCATTGATAACATGATGAATGCGATTAAGACACGAGGAGCAGCTGCAACATTTGTTGATCTCGTGTTTCAACCTGATGATGGAAATGCGCTGTCAGTAAATGAAAATTTAACGAACAAGAAACGTTGTATGGCAATGATGTTTTATTTTTATTTATCAGGATTAGAAATTCCGAAGACGCTCATGGCTTACGACACTATTTACACATTGAAAGCTGAGGGATTTGATATTTTCAGTACTCTCGTGAAACACTCTCCTCCTAGTGCTGAACTTATTACTATGACCAAAGCGATGCTTCCAGTCTATGATAGTATCAGTATTGGGAATCTGGCAGCCTTTCTTGAAATGTTATTAAATGAAAAGAATCGGCTAATTAGTGACTTTAATAAATATCAAGCCGATTTTGGCACTCTTGACACACAAGATACTTATGCCCGACTACTGGACAAGGTGCGCGGTTGTCCGGAAAAATGTCCATGCTGTCGACGACCATGCGATGCCGATCATACTCTAGTCAAATCCAAGCCTGGCTCTGAAGAGAATCAACATTGTTGTGCTCTTGGCCATGCTCTCCGTGCGATGAACGGATATCGCTACGAAAAAACGGATGAAGCTTCTTTAGCGATGTGCGAACATATCAAACCAGAACAAATTATTATTGTTGGACCTCTACGCAAACGATGGTCTGAATTTAAAAAGGATCATGCCGATTGGAACTTTGACCCGATAATGTCTGTTGATGAACTCAATCTATTGCATGGAAAATTTCTAACAGTTTGGGCTAAAGTCGGCCAAGAAATATGTCGTAAGTATGAGATGAACTTTGTTCTGAATAATACTATTCAACCAGTTGAACACCAATCGTTTCACTACATGCTGCTGCTCGATGGATCTGGCTCAATGGCTGGAAAACCATGGGCGAATCTTCTCGACGGTGTACGTGAATTTCTCCGATTAAGATTATCTGCAGGCTCGAACGACCATGTGACAATCATCGTCTTTTCTTCTAACGCGACTATTGCTCATTTTGATAAACCTATGAATGATCCTGATTTGATGACCATCAATTTTCATGGTGGAGGTACAGATTTTGCCAAGACTTTTGCTACTCTTCATTCTGCTATTAGTCGTGCCAACCAGCAAACAACTGTATCACTCAATGTTCCTCTTCCCACCTTTAAGGTAGCAGCTACAAAATTGTCGAACAATGTACCATTGCGTTACATCGTGATATTTATGAGTGATGGTCAAGCAAAATTCCCTCAACGAGAACTGACCACATTAAAGACAGATCACCAAGATGTTATTGAAAAATTTTGGACCGTCGCGCTCGGCGATACGGCTATGGATGTGCTCAAAAAAATCAATCAAGCCATGGGTGGATACTTTTTGGACATTCAAGATTCAAGTCAACTTTTAGATGCATATACGACCATGGCCGAAGTTGCACCACCGTAATAAATGAGTAAATCAACAGTCTAAATGGCACGTATTAAGATAGTGACTTCATTTTCTCGTTTAAATAAATAGTTTTTTTTCTGTAATAAATAAAACTAAATGAAAAATGACCGTTGCAACTGAAATCAGCAACTCTTTGATAGTGATACACCGAGAGGGTACCGATTCGTGGATATGTGGGTGTGAGTGCCTGTGGGTGTTGATTAAAAGAAGAAGACTATCCATCCACACAACACCACACCCACACACTTCCATCTACATCCACATCTATGTCAGAAAGAGAACGGTATCAAGTGATAACATACATCCAAAAATGTTTTCAGTGATCACGGACCATTTGAGTATGTTGGGTATAAATAAATAACAAATCTTGACTTTTTCCGATCCGAAAACGTACACAACGTGATTAACAAGTTCTATGTATTTTGGACCATTAAGGGTGGAGTGTGGGTGTGTGGGTGTGGGTGTGGGTGTGGGTGTGTGGGTGTGGGTGTGGGTGTGTGGATGTGGGTGTGTGAATGTGGGTGTGGGTGTGGGTACGTGTGGGTGCAAAATAAAAAAAGACACCCACACCCACACCCACACGACACCCACACCAGCCACACACACCCCCCTACCCCACACCCACACCCACACGACACCCACACCAGCCACACACCCCCCCCCCTACCCCACACCCACAGTCACACCCTCGGGTTCTTTTTCAGGTTGAAGAATATTTTTTTGTCTATAGTATTCGTTCAGAAGCATCTACGCAGGGTATTCTATCAATAAATACTGTCACAATAGCACTAGTATGATCAATCTTTAACTAAAAATTCTGTCATTAGTAATCCAGGAGCTTTGTGTAACTAGCCTATCGGGACTTTATTAGATTGTAAACGAAATGGGATTGTCTATTGCTGATAGTCTCAAGCACAGTAGCGGTTAGCCGTGAATAGCATCTCGAAGGAGCGCCGCCGAACGACTAGTCGTGCATATCAAGTTTTCACTATAGACATATTTTTGAAAATATGTGTTTAAGATAGAGCACTGTTTTGTGAATGTTTCATTGAGACTCCTATGAAGAGTTTGAAGATAAGGTCAATCCTACAGAAAGACTAGGGTGTGAGTGCGGGTGCAGAATTTATCAAACACATCCACATCCCATCCTCAAGTAATCTTTCTATTGATTCTGATTCTTCTAGATTCAATTATTTTTTCTAATCCCAGCCAGTATCAGATCAAACGAACCTCCTCTTTTAATGAAACTGGATAATATCCAAAATATCTAATGTTCTTTTTTGAATTAACGGAAGATTCTACACCTTGGGTTGAATATATGCCATAGTTATTAGCGTCCTCTTTCTTCCTTGTTCTAGATTGGCTCCATCTCTCTACCATGTTTCTTCTCCTTTTTACTTGAAGAAGCAAAACATGGGTATTTTTGTCGTGTCTCTTGATATTCACCTTCTCATTGTGTTGATAGAAAGGTGTGGTGGAATAAAAGTAAGCAGATAACAACTAATGACGCATATACACTGAAAAAAAAATTGGTACGATACCGAACCAAAAAGAGTAAGGTGGACGAAAAAAAGGTTTCGTACATAGTACGGAATCTAAAAAGGTTCCGAATTCGTTGCAATTATCCGAACCATTTTAAGTTCGGTACAGACCACTTCAAAAAACTTGAAAAAGTATCCTGATCCAATAACAATCAATTTCAGGCACCCGAAGTTTTGCACGAAATCATTTCAGGGTTTCGTACTGCCTTCTAAAATGGTTCGGTAATCATACAATTTTTTTCCAGTGTACCGAATCATTTTAGAAGGCAGTACGAAACTCTGAAAAGGCTTCGTGCAAAACTTCGGGTGCCTGAAATTGATTGTTATTTGATCAGGATACTTTTTCAAGTTTTTTGAAGTGGTCTGTGCCGAATTTAAAATGGTTCAGATAATTGCAACGAATTCGAAACCTTTTTTCCGTCTACAATACTCTTTTTGGTCGGTATTGTACCATTTTTTTTTCAGTGTACATGTCCTTTACTGTTGTTGTAGCCGGTACCTCATCTTCAACAAACTCCTTAGAGGACTCATGTACTGACAATATATTTTGGTGACGATTAATAAAAAAAATAGCTCTCAATCTAACGGTGCTCATTGACTTTTATCGTGCGGATACATGCTCATGAAAGACGAATTGATATGGAGCTATGCTCCTCACTCAATTTAGCGTCTGCTCATTATGAGCATCATTCCTTTCTCTCACGCTCTAAAAGTTGAACATTTTATTCAAGTTCTGAAGCATTGCGAACCTAACGAAGTCACAAAATCACTCTTTAGAAAAAATCAAAACAGCTTTTTTCTGATAGAAAACTTTGGTGTTAAGCACTCGTTGAAGTGAAGACACCTTCACGCTCTAATCAGTTTTCCTTTTTTTGTTTCCGATTAAATCCACCATGAAGTCAGTTCTTGAATGACAAATTCCTGCGATCGACGTTATTTGAGATTCAATCCGATATCCTCTTTCCGAATATTATGCAACTAGCTGTCACTCATATTTGCTTCTCGATTTAGGTGAATTTGGAATAAATGTGGTCCAGGTTTCGTCGAAGGGCGCCTAGCGTCAATCCAAGCCAACGGGTTTTTGACTCCGCAGAAAACGCTCTGATGAAGCTCTCACTGAACTACCAAGGCTACATGAAAGTCGGTGAAGTTCTGCATTTGCAAGGACCCCATATCTCTCTGGAGAAACTGACTTCAGCGATTGGCCGTCTTCAGTGTCGTCATCCTTTCCTTCGAAGTCACCTACAAAAGAATCCCGCAAAGCCAGACAGCTTCCTAATGGAGGAAGACAACACACTTCGTCTCAAGATTCGAGAGATACCACGAAAAAGTGATGATCATCTCAACTTCTGGCGTCAGGAATGGCGAAAGCGAGAGAAGGAGACAGCTGTCATCGGGCAAGGACTGGCCGAATTTTGGCTCTTGCAGGTACACAAGAGTTTGAGTTGTGGTTTTTAGAGCCGGCTTCCTATTATTGATAAAAATGCTACGACTCAATAGTCGAGTTGATACCATAAATAAGTTCATCACATGTTTTCTTCTAGGATCCAGATGATAATGACACCGAAAATGACCCGAGAGAAATAGTATTAGTATGTGAACACAGCGTTTGCGATGGCTTGTCTCTAAGCACGATAGCACACGAGCTCCTCGTGGTTTTAAGTCACGATGATGATGAAAACATGCTTGCTAACTCTTTGGACTGGCCAATAACTATGGAGACCGCAATTCGAGAGAGCCTCTCAATATGGGAAAGAGTAATCACATTTGGCAGGTTCATTCTCGCGGCCTTGTACTGGCGGGTAGCCAAAGCCAGGACCATCACGAGAATACCCTTGGCCAATGTCGATTTTCCGTTGATTGATATGGCCAAGCATTGTTACACGGAAGCCTCTTACGGTATGCTGAACAAGGAAGAGACGCAAAAATTGGTAGAAAAGTGTCGTCGAGAGGGTGTGACGGTGACATCAGCTGTTAGCAGTGCCGTTTTATGCGCCATATCTACAGCAGTGAGCGTGGATGATAACCGAGCGACACAGCTGACCTTTGCTATTGCAGCCGATACTCGCAAACGATGTGTACCACCAATACGCAATCATGACCTTAGTTATCAAGTATCAGGAATTATGGCATTCATAATGTCTCCAAGAGATACACCAACGACGCTGGAAGGCATGTGGCAGCTTGCGAAAGCATTCGGACATCACGTAAAGACATCAATTGATGCCGGCCAAATCCTTGCTCTCGGTATGATCATTGGGAAGCTCTATGAGAAGAATCTGGGTCCGCCTAACCTAGAGGAACTTCCAACTTGCGGAATTTCAAACTGGGGTATTTTACCCTTTCGCGAACGGTACGGGGCATGGGAGCTCATGGCCATGACTCCTTTTGGAAACATGATTCGAGCAGCCATGCCGTTTATTTTGATTCAAACTGTAAATGAAGTATTGACAGTTGGATATATTGGATCTGCTCCCATCATTCATCCAAGCACTCTAGACAACTTACGCGATGGTACAATGCACAATTTGCGCCACATGATAGAAAACTAACATTATTTTTACACTAATCAATTGTGTGGGCAAAACGCTTTTTGGTTATTTAAATTGTTTTCAATTTTTGATTGATTATTAAGTTAAGAAATTTGTAAGCTTCATATAAAACGATTAAGTGTTTTAAATCTTATTATTAAAGATTTAAAGAATGAGGGTTTTTATTCAATTTAAATTATTGTAAAAAATTTTAATCAATATTTTCGTTGCAACTAATAAATAAAATTTCATGTGTTTTTTTTTAAAGAGACTGTTCTTGTACGTTAATGACGGATTACTTTTATAAAAACTGAGTGGATCGATATATTTCGGAAAAGTTTAGAACATTTTCTTGTAATTTATAGAAGAGGCAAATTTTCACTGACGAAACATTTTTGATCTAAGAAGAGTTGTTGCTTTTTGTCGAGAGCGTAAATTATTCTTGAAAGAGATTTTCGATTTAGAAAGACCTTCTCTGATGTAAGATTCGAGAGTTTGAAGATTGTTAAGAAGTATCCTATTCAAGTAAGGTATATTTAAATCTTAACAACGGTATTCAAATACGATTATAAGGGTGTGGGTGTCGACACATTTCATCTTAAGTCGCATCCACATCCATATCCATGATGATTTTTGAGTAAATGTGCATGACTTATGCGAGATTGATATATTAACACATCAATTTTGAATTAATATCTGCCTACGATTTGAAAACTTTCGCTGAATTCGCATGAATCTTTATGTAATAGGTTCTCTTAGAAACTTTTTCAGATAAGTGTTTCGTTCTTACATTTATTACTTCATATAACATTCATCAATTTTTCAATAGTTACATGCTAGAAGTCGCCTACATTCGTTGTGGGTTTATCGATTTTGTGGAAGGAAGATGTCGAAATGGTGTGGGTGTCGAGATCGTGATCGGTGTGGATGATTTTAGACGAAGGCCTATACTCACACTCACACCACCCAGCAGCATTGTGGGGCTTGTTTGGTCACCTTTGAAAATATCAATTTTAAAATTTTTCAAGGTGAGGACTTCAACTACTTTTCACTCATTTAAAAATCTACATTCTTTTAGCTAAATATTAAATCAGGCATATCTCTAACATAATACTATTCTGCCATTTTATCATTTTCAGAATCTTCCATCTAGAGTAGTGTTAAGGGAACGTCAGATAAAATATAAGGTAAGGATAAGAACAATTTACTCAATCAGGATACAAGAGTACGAGAAAAGCTTACCCTACACATCTATAAACTCGAGTCATCTAACTAGTCGTGATTCCTTAAATGTTTTGTTTGTTAGTGGAACTTGTCGTGGTTTTTCATCAACATCAATAGTAACCACAAGAGTACATGTCATAAGAGCAATTAATATTTCTGTGAAAGATTATTATTTAGCTTAGCCGAATTGACATTCACACAAATATGAACACGTTTATCAGCGTATCAAATTTATAGCATATTATTTTTCATACGAGCAGTTCAAGAACATGCTATAAAACGAAAAACGTATCCTTTCTCGTTTTCATCTGATTCAATTGATGATATTGTGAATCTTGTATCCTTATCTTCATTACCTTATTCTTTAATTCATCTTATGAATGCCAATTTTTTTCCGTTCATTTTATTTCTGATCAAAAACGTAGGATAAGATTTATTAACAGGGGTGATCAATTTACATTTTAAAAACATGTATTTAATTCAGAAATAAATTCTAAAAAATTGAAATTTATTTCAAATTTATATTTCCCATAAATTAATAAAGAAATACTACTCCTATTTATTAACATAATTATTGTGAATGGTTATTATATAAATAATATGTCATATTCTCACAAGATATCATCGTTATCAAAAAGACAAATGAAAAGATCATCCTGCGTCGTTCTCAGTTGTGCATATCCAGGAGGACATAGCTGCAGCATCTAGTCTGATATGCAGCCGTAGCCTACTGATTTCTTAGGTTTAAGGGATCGTATTGAGTCATAATTTTATTTTATATTTATCCCTTTCACTTTTTTCACTGCGTTGGAGAAAGTTTTTTGAATTACTTGGAACTCATTGTTGATCTCTATCTAATGCAAATCATTTCTATCTATAGTTGAAAGCGATAGATTCTGATAGAGAAAAAAATTATTCATTTGATTGAGCCCAGTTCCGATCAGTTTTGAGCAGGTATTAATGATCATTCAGCCCCAAAACGGGTTTTTTGAGCCTTCCAAATATGTGACATTCTTGATCAGCACATATTGTTCTATCAATCCCAAGAGACTATATATGAAGTGAAGATAAAAAATATTTTCTCGAATAGTTTACGCAGACTTCAGATACAAAATATTGAGTGCATTGAGAATGATACATAGATCTATTATCCTTTTCAAAAAACAATAGGCGTGGCTGTTTTTTGAATAACTTGGGAACGCAAGCAACTAGAGATCTGCGGTTTTCACTAATCGAAAGAGGAGACCGGAGGTGTCTTTTTCTCCAAGGATGTGTGTAAGGAAATCCTTTTACAACCAATTATTTTTGAAAAAAATGTAAAAGAAGGCATTTCGATGGAAATGTAATGAAAAGTAAGGAAGCGCATTTTATCTTGAACTACAGATATGAAGTTCCTCTATCTAAATCAAAAGTCAAAATCAAAATTTCACCTAGATGGCAGGCCATTTTCATGCCTTTTTTTACATGTTTTTCAAAAATAATTAGTTGTAAAAGAATCTCCTCTCAAATATTCTCGGAGAAAAAGATGCTTCCACCTCCTGGTCTCCTCTTTCGATGAGTGAAAACCGCAGGTCTCTAGCTGCTTGCGTTCCAAAGTTATTCAAAAACAGACACACCTATTGTTTCTCGAAAAGGATATAGCTGACTTTAAAACGAATTATGAAGTCGACTCCGGCATCTATATATATTTATATGAATTAATTTTTGCTCTTCAGTACAGCTTTTATTAAAAGATAATAGATAAACATCGTCTGTCTTGTCTCTTGGTTAATTCTCGACCAATCACAATATTAATACGACACACTTCACTTCAGTTAAAGCGAATCATAGTCGGATATAAGCTCAGTGACATGAATCTATACATTACAGATTGAATGGTTTTTTTATTCAATTATAGAATAAAATGAAAAAAGTAATTGAAGCAGACGGCGGTTCTCTAGATCCATGATTCATGCTATTGTGAAAATGATGTAAAACTACATTGCTTAAATACCATACAAATGACATTAATTTACTAACATATTGACTCAAGTAGCGACTTTTCACCTTGCCCGAACGTTTTCGATCCTACAGCTTTTAGACATTAGCAAGTTAGTGTACTCATTTAGAACCAGAAGAATCTGGCGTTCTTACTTTCTTTAATTTTTGAAAACCATGATAGTCATAATTTGATCCTCATTTAAGTAATATTAAATGAAAACGATAGAAAAAAAAGTCTCTTATACTAATTGTATTATTCGTTTCTTTCGTTTACGATGTGTTAACATTATACTTTTTATTATATATTGAAAAAGAGACGGATACTAGGGTGTGAGATGTGAGTGTGAGGTATGAGTTTGGGTATGAATGGGTGTGGTTGGAGGGGAATTTCGGTAAGAGAAAACCCACTCATCCCCACAACTACACTCACACTCACACTCACACCAGCAATAATATCCTTCTAACCCGTCTGCAAACACTGTTTTATTTGCTGGCTGGCCCCGACTTTCTTTTGAGTTTTTGCATTTTTTTTTGAAAAAATTGGTCATAACAATGTGTTTTTTACAAATCAAATACTTTTCACTGATGTCGAAAAATATTTCTGTGTGGTACGATGCATTAGACCATTCTTTTAAGTAAAATGCATCGTAGTATATTTTATACATTTTTTCTACTCATTTTGATGTCTAGTTATGCTGTTGAAACAAAATAGACCAAGTATTTAGTAGTGTAATTTATTATGGACTTATTCATAGTTCCTAAGATTTATTGCATATATTTCATACAGGCATAAGAGATAACAAAGCAAATATAACGCGGAAACTGGATTATGTTTATGATTAATTAGTAATGCCTACGTTTAACGGACATTTAACTAGCACAAAATTAATATAGAATTTGTAATCTTATCTGGTTTTCTATTCACGGATAGATGTCAAGAGAGAGAAAACCTAGGGGAATAAATGATGGAAAGCGCTATAGAAGTGAAACAGAAATCTGAGATCATTGCAGTAGTCATTAAGAAACAGATATGACCCATTGAGGGCTTCATTTCACTCTTATAGGATCATCGAAGTGAAAGATGACTCATATCGATTTACCGGCCGGTCTGGTCGTTTACACTGAGCGTGAATGTAGGTATGAATGTGAGGGTGTGGTGAGTGTGATTGGACATGGGTATGTGAAAATTGGAGACGCTCACACCCCACACGCACATCCCCCACCCACATCCACTCCCGATAAACGTTAATTATGTTATAGGAAAGCAATAGGTGAATTTTAAGTTCAAAATAAATGACAATGAATATAAAATCAAGTCGTAAATGTATGGCAGTTATATTGACATATGTGTTCGTTCTTCTATTTTGCTTATTTTCGTTGTCTCACCAACATTATAGAGTGAGTTGATGATCGTTTGGAAGCGTTGTCGAGCCATTTCACGCCGCGTCTTGAAGGTGGGTGTGATTAAACCATTCTGTTGCGAAAATGGCTCATGATGAATATATATTTTGCTCACTATTTCGAAGCGTTCCAGGTTGTTTTCTTTAGCCAAACGAAGCAGATCAGCCATAATCAATTGCTTTAATTCATGATTTTTGCATAAATCTTCGAAGGTTTTAGCTGTTGTCGAAGTAAAATTCTTTCGCGTGTACTCTTCGTCGGGTACGACAGTAGCTACTACTGTCGCTTGTCTTGAACAGCTATCAACAAAGATTTGAGAAACCCATGGAGAGCAAAGATATGCTTCTTCTAGACGTTCAGGTGCAATATACTTGCCTTGACTTAACTTGAATATGTGCTTGCTACGATGAATGAGTCGCAATGTGCCATTTTCTGTCCACTCACCAACATCTCTCGTATGTAGCCAGCCCCCTTCGTCAAGTGTTTCTCTTGTTTTTGCCTCATCATCATAATAACCTGGTCAAAGAATGCAAAAGTGTGAAGCCATTTTTGAACTATTTGAAGCACATGAAAATTTTTCACGGTTGGACAAAGGATAATATGGGATAGAGAGTTCCTCGAGCTATATCCAAAGACCGCATACTCATACTGTCATAGGTAAGTCATTCAATATATGACAACAATTTTGATTTATTTTTCCATTGCAAAGCACGGAATCTGACTGATTCTAATGGTTCGTACGGGTTTTTGCCGGATCTAACTCTCGGTATAGTGTTGCATATAGCTCGTTGATTTGCATATGATTTTTGACTTAGTCTGTTGATTCAGACGTTGTGAGAAAAAATTCGAGTCGATGACTAAGTTGTTCACACATAGCACTATATAGTTCTCATTATGTATTTACTTTTGTTAACTATCGATATATAAACTATCAACAGCTCAAGTTTTTCACAAAAGCACTCCAACTCGTCAACAATTCGTCATTTTTACCTATTCTTCCATAGTCCAATCGTCGAAGAAACAAAGACAAACAAATTTGACTTCAAATATCTTATACTATTTTCATATAATATCCTTAACTGAGAACACTAGACAAAACATCTCCCAATAAAATGTAACTTGCCTTTGAAAACAGTAAGCCCACGAATACAGATTTCACCTTGATTGTTGTCACTTCGATAATTCGTTCCAGGCACATCGATCGGTTCAATTTCTACTGTACATATCGGCATGCCAACTACTCCATATGACATGTCAATTACGTGTGTGGCAGTACTTATACCTGATGATTCTGTTTGTCCAAAGATTTCATATATTGGAATATCAAGTGCAATACAGAAAAAACGTAAGACATCACGTGAAAGTGGTGCGGATGCAGATACCATTACTGATACTTTGCCACCATAGAGCTGTTTTACTTTTTGAAGAATAATACGCGAAAGAAACGATGATTTTTCTTTCCACAATGCTTGTTTCACAAGAAATCTTTTTATTTTACTTTTTGCAACTTCATCCATTACTTTATCGTATATCTTATTCAAAACACGAGGTACCATAAATATGCGAGTAGGTTTCACTAAGGCATAATATTCAAAGAGTTTCTCGGGAATTGAACAACAAATAATTTTAGAGCCATTCATTAACATAAGCAATAATGCAGCCTGTTCGTAAAGATGAGCCATGGGCAAAAACGAACAATGCCGATCTGAGGAATTTGACAAGATGTTTGCTCTCTTCTCACGATCAATGGTAGACTTCACTCTTGCAATACCGTTTTTGTAGGTTAACATAGCAATCTTCGATTCGCTTGCAATAAAACACAGATAATTTCTATGAATTTCGCAATTCTTTCGATGCAACATAAAAACGGCTACGAAGATATTCTTTCAATTGCTAATTTGTGTTTTAAATACTGTTTCTAGAGTTTCGAAAACCACTACAAGATCTCTACATAGTCATTCTTAGAAGACTTCTGAAGGGAGTCATTGGAGTGGTACTTAGTCATGCTGCATCGACTGACGATCTTTGCTTTGAGCTTCAAAGCGAGCTAAACTCACTGAATCAAATTTTGAAAAATCCACTGTCTGCTGTAACAAGATACACCCAACTGATATTCTAATGTTTTGTGACTCAGCGTGATTGAACATACCTCTTATGATTCACTTTCGAGTGACTAGAGATCCTATGGTTGACTTTAGAACAAGTGAGAAAAGCTTCATAACTTATAAAAGCAAATCTATTTCAATGTTATGCTGTTGAAATGAATTCTATCGAGGAAGTTCTAGTATTTGTTTAAAAGGCATGCATTGATCTCTTTCTCATCAGTTGTTCCGCTTGTTAAAAGAAATGCAGCAATACTGTCTGGATCGAGTGTGGGACGTGGGCGTATATCGGTCTTGTCCATTGTCTTTAATATTGATGAAAGACTTCGAATTTTGCTGTGTTCCATACACTTTACTTCATCCATGACGATGATTTATTTGATTTGGTCGTTTTCGAATAATAGCTGTTCGAAGGATCGAATACGTACCAAATTATCGATAACTAGCATCTCTGTTTCAGTCTTCCGAAGCAAATCCATTATTCTTTTTGGATCATAAATTATGAAGAGACCCACCACAATAAAACCGTACATGTAACAACTATATGCAATAATAGGATATTCTGGGCGATTGACCGATATTATTGCTACTTTCGAATGTCCTGAAATGAGCTTTGCTGCTGTCCACAGATAAGAACCAATGTAATGTGCTTGCTCCAATACTATTGAGTGGGATAGCCATCGTATAGGTTCTGACTTATTTTCCAATTCAATAAAACCCAAACATGGACCGTCATTCGAAACCGCCTGGCCATGATCTAATACATCAGCAAGAGTACGTACATCGGGACATATTAATTTGTAGTGTGACCAGAGGGCAACATCTTTGTACAATGTACATCGCCGAATATGCTGGGCTAGGTCTATTTCGACTGTTTGATTGTTGACATTGATACCATCGTCATACTTTCGTCTAGTGAACGATCTGCTTGGATGCGTACCCATGGCTCGTTTCTAATAAGTAAGCTGTTAGCGTAATCGCTGAGAGATCACAATGTGAAACACGATGAATCCGTTTCACTCGTAAACGAGAGTCCTATCCCTTTCGATCGTATTATGCTTTAAGATTAGATAGACTAACATACTCTATCTGTCCGCCATGGTCTATGGAGTTAGTCGTGAGAAAGGAGCGTTACTAGTTTTGATATATATTTCAACGCTCATGTCCAGTTGTCTCGCACAAAAATATCAACATGACTGTATTCATATACTTAGTAATCGTCCAATGTAAGTGACAACGTAGCCTGCTGAACTCGTGGTTACAGATATGGCTAATATTTACATATATTGGAATGGCAAGTGCTTCGTAGGTACCCAGGCAAGTCAATCAGAAAAGTATTGTTCCTTTCTCAGAAGGAGCCCAACGAAAATATCCGCTAAAAAAAGAACGAATTACTGGTGAGCACTAGATCAGTGAAGATCCTCTTCGGTGGAGTGTAGGCGTGCGTGTGAGTGTCAGAAAAGAGAGCATCAACACCTCACTCACACTCTGAAGTCACCTGAACTTATCGGACCTTTCACAGCATAAAACTTTGACTTTATCTAATGACTACAACAGAAATGGATATATTGCGAACTGAAGATTGTATACTAATAACAAACGACTCTGAACATCTCTTACTATTGAAGATATTATTTGAAAAAATGTAAAATGACTTCTTCACTAATTCTTACTTATGAACAACAGCATTACCTGTAAAATCATGGTCAAATTGTTTGATTTTGCCAAGAAGGAAGGATAAACCAATTGAGATATGAATCTAACAGAAAATATGAATTCATGCCGTCTTGAAATACGGTTAACAGAGTTCATAATCGAGATCCGAAAAGATAATACTTGGCGTACTGTCACCCAACAAACTATTTAGTCTACTCTCCGTATTCAGATCTACAAAGTAGCAAAATAAAAAGATGTTAGCTGTAAACGTTGAGCATTCTAGAAACTGACCAGTAACTATATTTTAAAGTTTTAGGGCCCATGTGAACTCTTCACAAAGTCTTCATAAATGAATGTGATGACATTTTTCTGTCGGACTTTGACAGCGAAAATGGTATCCCATCGACATTTGCGAGACAGCCAGTCAACATATTTCCACAAGCACAGCGGAAAAGGCGATTGCCTACCTTCACTTTTTCATCTCACGAAGACTCACAATGTCAATTACGACTACGTCAAAATAACTGCATATTCTCAATCGCTATTATATTCCCTATACTAAAAGGATAAATTCTAGAAACGGAAATCCACATGTGTCTGTATGTCTGTAACATAGTTACCATATGACAACTATGACACAAATAACCATTGAGTTATGATCCAACGATCGTTGTTTAACTGTGGCCCAAGTAATCACCTGGTAATCATGGCTGAAAAATGTGATTTAGTAACTATAGGATCGCTGAGCACCTAGTAATTATAACTCAAACGACGTCAAGAAAGATTAGATTATTAAGACATCACACAGCTGATCATTGCTGTTGAAATTAGCAGAGTAATATAAGCTATATTAAATTTAAGTTGACCAGCAATCTTAATAACTTATTAAGTCTAATTGAATTTGGTTTAATTGTGTATCGATGAACATATTATTGTTTCGTAAATTATAACTTGTTGAGTAAATTTAACCATTGAATTATAACAAATGAAAATCTTCTTTTTACACTATGTGATAAAACTAATATAATACGATTTCGTTTTCACTACAAATAGCGCTAATATATAAACTAATTAGAAAAACGCGTTCTTAATTTTAATATCATTATTATTGAAAAGATGAATAGCAATTCAAATTAAAAAAAAATCGTTGGATCAAGGCACTTTCTTTGGCAATCTAGAACAATAACTATGACGAATGGAATTTATCACAAGTATGTAACATAATCTCAAAAAATAGAAAATATGAGAAAATTGCTCAAATTTGTAAATTTTTCAAAGGAGTAAAAAAAAACTTTTCCCCGATTATAAATAATAGTATCATGTATATGCCGCAAACTAGTCAGTTACAATAAAAATAACTGTTTTTTATCTTATGTGGCTTGAAATTTAGATTAATGTCTATGATGAGATCGATTTTATTTAACGCATGTTTACAGCTAAAAGCAATTGCATGGACATCCATATGCTGTCAGACTAGGAATAAATGAATCGACTCTCGATGAACGTTACCTGTATAATACTCATATTGACATATTATTGAACTATTTTTGCTCTCTCAGTAACGCAATAACAAGAAGAAACATATTGACGACTAACATGTGCCAGGATCGACAGTCTTACTCAAATACTATGAAATGCGTTGCTTCTATCTACCCGCTCTTTGTTTCATTTCTTTCTGCCTTCGTTTCTTTTTCTTCATTCGACTGCATTGCCCTTTTTCACAAAAACGCACTACAACACAAGGCAAAAATAAGTGTGGTTGTATAGATGTAGATGAAGATGAAGAGAACACTCATCCACATCATGCTCTCAGAATCATTTCGAATTACTAACATAAGAGTAGATGAAAAAGCTTGTTAGCGCAGCTACTTCGGTGCTGAAATGTGAAACCCACGTATATCCTTCAACCTTGTTATACTAATACGTCATCCGTAAACTGAAAAATTTCTTGTCGACTGTAGTTGTTTCCACTAATAATCCATGACAAAGCAAGAATTTATTATTTATATCTACATGTACAACAGAAAATGTCTTTTTCGTTTGAGAGCGCCCGGTTTCATTTATAATCGTTGCTATACACTCGATAATAGTCATTTTTTGTTTTTTTAATTTGAAACTATTTTTTTTTCACCATCGACTATTTCATAAATAAGTCTATGACAATCATGCAGTTTATATGCATCAGCAGCGTGATGATAAATGATAGAAGGGATGTTAGTGTGGATGGAGATGCACTTTATTCTATTCCTTCACATCATATAATCGTATCGTTTACATACAAAGCACACGCTTATATAAGTAAGTAGAATAAAAGAGAATGAAAAGAGAGGAGATGAGTCAAGACGAGAATAACGTAAGAATAAAAAGGAGAAGACAAAATATATGATAACGCGTGAATGATGATACAAAGTGAGAAGTACATTACGACAGAAAGAGAATGAGGCTCAATCATGTATAGATGAGCGTAAGAGTAACGCGATTATTGAAACTACGTATTATCTATTGTATAACAGCATGTAGAGAAAGGAAAGATATCAGATAAGATGATGTAGCCATAGGCACAAGCAGCTCTTACCACACTACTGTATATCTCAATCAAACCATAAATGATGATATTGTTTACTTTTCAAACTGATAAACAGATCGAATCATGCTTCTCATGTGGATTATATGAATGCTATGACAGATCAATATATATTACTATTATTCATCATTGATTCTTAACATACAAGTTTAAATTCTATAAAAAGTGGACGCTT